AGGATTGGAATTTAAGAACGCCAACTGAGTTTCTCACGCTCCTTGAAAAGGGGGCGGGCAAGCATGTTCTCTATTGGAGAGCATGACTGCCTTCCACTGGAGAAGTGTAGATGTTTTATTTCTTCATCTGTGGCTTTGGGACATGGAGGACAATATCAGGAGCAGAGGTGGTATTCAGCAGGTTCTGACCAGTTCTGGAGAACCGGCAGCAGAAATTTTGAGTAGTTCGGAGAACCGGTAGCAGAAATTTTGAGTAGTTCAGAATACCACCTCTGATGGCCTTGCTCCCATCTTTTTTTTTTTTAAACAAATTTTATTAATTTTCAAAGACAATACACAAACAAACAAAACATAAAACATAAAACATCTTTTCTGAAAGCTGCTTGATCCCGGGTTACATCTCTTCGTACAGACACAAATTCAAATACATGTTCATTTTACATACCATTCCATATCTTATTACCATTTTCCATTTTCTATATAGCTTCTCGCCTCTTTTAACTTTCTTAAGTTTATTTTATTTATCACATCTCAGTTCAAATCATAATGCTTATTATTCTTTGTCTGTTTTTCCAGCTATCTATTTCTCTTTCCTCTTTAAACAAAACTTCTCCTGTACACTGATTGGAGTGTGACACCTTTAACTCTTTCCCCTAAATTTATAATACTTAATATAATACATGACTTCCATTGGGATTCTGTTTAGTACATTCTAAAATTACACTTTATATTTTATAAAAAGAAAAAAAATTATAAGTATATAATATAATTAAAACAACTATCAATGCTAATACAAATCTAATCATTAATATTAATATTCATTTATATCTTAAACATTTTACACGTTACTTTTCAGTTGAATATCATACTTTTATGGGAACACATATACTTTCCATAGTTATTTCCCCCCCACATCACATATTTTAAATCATTGTATCATTAAAATGTTCCCATGTCCTCCTACTTCAATTCTCTCATTTATTTCATTGCCTTCTTTTTATTCACGAAAATATCACTAAGTTACACTAAATATTTTATCCTATTTTTTGATCACATGTTGTTTCCAGTTTTCTAACAAGTACAAATATAAGAATACAATCTTATGTACCTTTGCAGAATCCCTTTTTCAATTAAATTTACCCATTATCTCTAAATGAATCTTGTTTCTTTACATCTTGCTCCCCACCATTAAGGCTTCTCATCCCTTCCTTCCTCGTTCCTTGCTTGTTCTTCTCCCTGCCCTTTTTACCCCCTTGTCTCTCCACCTCCCTTTTCTTCTTCTGCTTTCCCCCTTTCTGTTGTTTTCTAACATTATATCCACTTTTCACCTTATTTTTCTCTTTTTTGGTTGTTTTTTCAAGTCTTAAAGTCCCCTTTTTCTTTTCCTCTTTCTCCCTTTCTTCCCCAAATAAAGTTACTTGTTCATCAAAGATGGCTTCTTCTTTATCCCAATCATCTTGTTGCGCAGTCAGTTTCTCATAGGTGCTAATCGCCATTTCTAAAAATTGAAAGAGAGTGCCAAGAGTCTTTCCCTTCTTGTTCTTCTTCTTTGTATTTTTTATATTTAATTTTCAATTCATCCACAAGTGATGCCATTGTAGAAAGAAAAAGTTTTTCCAAAACAACCACCCAAGTGTTTTTAGTCAAAGATAATTCCCAAAAGTCCCAAAGTCACCAAACAATCCAAATAAGCTGTTTCTTTTAGCACTTTCTTCTTTCTTCACTTTCTCTTTCTGGGGTTACTGTTTAGTTAGAAGCCTTGCTCCCATCTTTTTTCTGCCTCATCAGTCCCAGCTGATTGGTTGGGTCTTCTTTTGTTGCCCTGCACAGGGGAACAGAGCTGGAAACCAGATTAGTGGGGTGGGGAGAGAATGGGGATTTTGCATCCTTCCCCTGGAGTGGGATGGGAATAGAGATTTTACAGTATCCTCCCTCTGCCATGCCCACTAAGCCATGACCACCATGCTAAGCCATGCCTACCAAGCCACGCCCACAGAACCAGTAGTAAAAATATTTTGAATCCCACCACTGATCAGGAGCTGCCTGTTCTTCTACTGATACAATATACATTCACAATATATGAAACTCTCAAAATAACCTTTTTTATGTTCCACAAAGTACAGTAGCCTCCTGGCAGACTCAGTTGGCACCATCTTAAAGTTGTTGAGATTGAAAATTATAGTTTAGGAATTACACTGATTTCTGATTTCATTTTTATCATTCATTGTTGTTCTTGTTGATGACTTTTGTGGGCTTTTTATTTGCTTGCTCGGTTTGTGTTATGATTGAGACTTTTCAACTGAAAAAGAAAAGCAGGATATAGCCCAAAGAAATAAACACCCACTAAACACATAGGGTGCTATGCCCTGGAAAAGAAATGAGTGGTACACATAAGAAAAATTGATCTGAGTTGGAAAGTTTGAGTTACACTTCAATCTGTATTGATTTCATTAAGAAGATACAAACCCACATTCCAGATAAATCTTTCATGGAGTACTAAACTCTTCCTTTCTTTATTGGTTAGCTAAGAAAGTATGGCTTTAAGTCGAAGGCTTCTCACTATGTGGATCCCATCATACTGGTTAAAAAAAATTCTGGGATTTGAAGTTCACATATCTTGGAGAATTCTGAGAACTAAAGTACACATATTTCACGCTGCCAAGATTGAGAAACATTGCTGTAGTGATCTACTGTTTTTACTACACTGAAATGTTGCTTATGTTTTTATGCCTTGCACTTGTAACATTCCTTACGATGCCATCCTGTTTTCTGTTAACAGTGGTTTAAAAAATACTTGAATGGGTAATTAATTTAACTCTTGGATCTTAGATGAGGAAGGGGAAGAAAAGAACAAAGATCAGCATTTCATTCTTCTGACCAATGGCAGCCAACCTGACCAGGGACAGCCTGATAGACCCAACAGAAAAAAGGATAGAACTAGTTCAGCAGTGCCAATCCCCACCCACCCAACCTGCCCACCCAACCCCAACCTGGCCAAAGAGACCAGAGCAGTACAATAATCTCAACTCAGCAGCAGCCAACTGTACCAACCAAGGCTTACAGTTTCTGCAGCATCATTATCAAGCAAGCAGTCACAGTAACAGAAAAGGAGCTCTGTAGAAACAGAAACATTCAGAACAGCCCAGCAGGAAAAAGAAAAAAAGAAAGGTTGGTTTGGAAGCAGCTGGGATTAGGGCAGAGAAGGAAAGAATTACTTTCCTCCCTACTTCCAAAGTGTGCAAGTAAGGGATTGATGGTGGGAACAGGGAAAGGGGAAGGGATACAATTGGGATGGTGACTGGTTGGCCTCTCTTCTCTGCTGGTGTTGCTGGACTTTTCTGACTTCTGACATTGCTGTATTTCCACAGCTGGGAATCATGGGTTGTTGGGCTGTTGCAGTTACCCCTTTTACCTTTTTCCATCTTCAAGTCTTTTCTGGGCATCCCTACTTTCATCCATGCTGCTTGCGGGCAGCCTCTCCTTGCAGTCCTTCCTGTGGGCTCCTTTTTCTTACACAACATCCCTCTCTCAGTGGTGGGAGTCAAAATTTTTTACTTCTGGTTCAGTGGGCATGGCTTGATGGGCGTGGCTTGGTGGGCATGGCAGGAGAAGGATACTGTAAAATCCCCATTCCCTCCCCACTCTTGGGGGAAGGTTACTGCAAAATCCCATTCCCTCCCTCCCCACCCCACTAACCTGATTTCCAGTTCTGTTCTCCTGTTCAGGGCAACAAAAGAAGACCCAGCCAATCAACTGGGACTCTGGAGGCAGAGAATAGATGGAGGCAGGGCCAGTCACAGATGGTATTTGTCGGTTCTCCAAACTATTCAAAATTTCTGCTACTGGTTCTCCAGAACCTGCTGAATATCACCTCTGCTCTCTCTCCAGCACTTTCTCGGGTTACCTGGACTCTCCTCCATTGATGTTCCATGTCATCATCAGTCCTCTGGGGATACATGGATAGGGCACAGCATAACCAAGAATGAGGACAAAAAGAAGTGGTGCTCTAGAAGATAACAAAATATTTTTTTTTGAAATGGAGAAATAGTATGGGCATTTTTCCAAATTGTATTCCCTTTCTTCTGCAGGCACACCTAGTCTGACTCCTTTTATATGGAGCTGCTTCTGAAAACTATTTGAAAATAACAGCTGCTGCTTCAAACAGTTATTGTCATGCTGTTGATAGATGGATTTATTTAGAATGCATGACTCCCTTCTTATTCAGTCGGTAGCCATTCCCATTCTATAAATCTCTCCTACTTCCCTAATTGTGTAATCTTCAAGTGACTTTGACTACATCCCCTAACATTTCCTGGGAGTGTCCAAAAAAAAAGAAGAGTTGTAACCTAGCATATCAAGATGAGACCAATGGGGCAAGGTTCACATTAAAAGATTGGGGCTTGATACTTCAGTTGGAATATCCAACCATTAAGACTTTGTTAGACATTTTATTACAAAATGGAATTTGCTTCTCTCAATTTTTGAGGGCAAAGTATACATTCCTTATGTGTGAGGACTTCTTTTGTTTGTCTATTTATTATATTTTACCATAACATAATTTCTTTCATAAAGGCAGGAACTCAGATAAAAATGATTTCTTGGATGGTATCTGTGAAGAAAAAAATTAATTGCTATTTAGGGAACTGAAGAAAAAGGTAAATAAATATAATTTTTTTAAAAATAGAATTTTTTAAACATAAATTTATGTTTAAACATAAATTTAAACATAAAAACAGCTCTTTCTAGCCCTCTCGGGTTTCTTCCTGAGGACATTTTATTTTCCATTGAAGTAGCCACAAGTCTAAGATTAGCTCAAAATATGCTATTTAGTTGATTTGCTGGTCTTAAGGCTTTAGACAGCAGCAACCTTGTCCCACTTTGTTATTCTGATGGTGTTGGCAGGAAACCACTAACAGAAGTCAACTGACAAAGCAGAGTTACTTTATTAGAGCATTTCTGTAGTTGCATGCATTCTTATCAAGCAGACCATTAAAAAAAGACCTGGTTTGTTTGTGCTTTTAGCAATTCTGGAGGATTTTTGGAATTTCATGAAATATGTTTTGAGCCACACACAAGGAACTCTAAGGTGAGAAACTGAATTAAATATTAACCAATTGGGACTGTATTTGAAGGCATTGAATGTGATCCACAGAACTGAACATTGGACAGAAGAATCATTTCAGCTCTTGATATAGCGTTCAGAGACCTGCCCAGGGGCTAAGCATGAGCCATTCGCTTACATTTAATTTCCCATCTGTAAAGTGGGAATAGCAGATGTTAACCATAATGAGGAGAAAATATAATTTTGACATGTATCCACTGCTCCTCTTGTTCAATATGATTCAGCATTCTCAATTTTCATCAATTTTCTCTTTCTTTTGGTATTTTGTAAGTATACAGTCATGTGAAAGATTGTATTAAGAGTATATTAGAGACTGCTAATTTTATGAAAATGTGTATATAAATGTTGACTAAAATTCAGTCTCCATGTAATAACGGATGATCATTCCTCAAAATTATTGGCAGTCACAGGCAGATTTGGCTATTATCACGAACCCCAGCCACTTCTTTTCAATTTGCTGCTTTGCAGAGTGAGAAAGGTGACATATAAATTTAATTAATAAGTAAATAAATAAATTTAAAATGGTCACACAAATATGATTTCCAGCAATTGCTTATATGCATTTTATATACAAAGAGAGAAATGCAGGGTCACCCTCACAAGTTTTTCTTTAAATGTAAAATTTCTCTGGCATTTTGGTCTTAATCCAAAAATTCATCAAATTTTGGATATCATGCTTAATCTTTATTAAATGCAATATTGCATCATTTACAGCAGAACAAAATGAAAAGAAAAGGCTACATATGGTGGTTGGTTCTGAAGAACTTAAAATTGCCTAACAAAAATGAAGTTACTGGTATATTTAAATTTTCATAATATATTTAAACGTTTAAATTTAAAATATATTTATTTGAATTTGATTTGTGGGTGATTTATGATATTTTAAAGTCCTGGGATTAAATTTGTGAATATTAAACTTTATGGGATGCTTGCTATGATGATATGATATGACAGACAATATCCTGAGTAACATTTACCATTTTTATTGTTCTTGTATTGAGAACTCCATAAATTTGCTTAACTTTTTTTTACTGATGTTGCAGAAGTTTTGTACTGAATGCTGAAGAAGTGGTACTCTTTTGTTCATTGAATATCTTAAAAATATAGGGAGAGAAGGGCTCCAGAATTAAGAGCAGAATTTAGTCCATTTTTAGGAGTAGCTGTGGCTGGTTAGGGCAGTGGTATATTAACCATTAAGCAGACTAAGCATGTGCTTAGGGCACCAGGCTCAAAGTTGAGAATATGGCTTCATTTGTACAGTATGTACAAAGGAAGGGGACACCAAGATTTGTCAGTGCTTAGGGCACCAGTGAGCCTTAATCTGGGTTAGGGTTAGACTAGAGAAATGTTCTGACATTCATCCTTCTCAATTCACCTGAGTGTTAGACCACATCATTCCCTTTTTTCCAGAACTTTGAAAATTGCTAATATAGAGATTTCCACCAAAGTGGCGATTCTATCTAAGTATTTATCCATAATTAAGTATCTATGAATTGATTGGGCTTGATTACATTTGTGAGGCACATTGTTGATCTTTTGGCCCTGTCGAGTTTGCACAAGATGTTTTTTCTCTTTTTGCTTGAAGGAGAAATAATAAATGCATCCATTTTCCTTTATAAATTATCTGAACAGTGATGGATTTATCCGAAGTGGAGATAACAATTGAATCGAATATCAACAGCCATTGATAGCCAGCAATGGCTGTGATGAGGTAGTGCTAGACCAGATAAGGGGAGGAATTATACTAAATGCTGTTGGACTCAGTCCTGAGATAATGCTGCTTGTTAGGAAAAGAAAATGAATTTGCTATATTCCAATTTCCACAAAAATTACTTTCCCACTCTCAAATCAGTTCGTGAATCAAATCTCGGCAACTTTTTTTTAAATTGGACTTCAGCTCTGACAGGGTTCCAAATAATAGTTCTTAGACAAAATCTATACACAGTATTATGGATTACTAGGAAAGAAGCACAAAACAGTGCATTTATCTGAGAAGAAATTATGGCAGAAATGTGCATGCTGTTCAAAACTGCATATCCAATTTAGTGGACTAGGAGAAATATACATAAAATAATATAAACTCCCCACTGATTTTTGTTTGAGCTTGTAAGCAGTAGGAGGACTCTGTTGATCAATAATACCCAATAATTTATGGTGGTTAAAATGAGACCATAGAGATATAATAAAGAATATAGTTTTGCAGGCCCAGAAAGTAATAAAATAATGTGGAAAAAATATTGATCTTTTTTGGTCATTTCTTGTTTTGCTTTATCAAAACATTAAAAGATTATAAAGCGCTCATAATATGTTCATTTTCAATTATTCATAAAATGATAAAGATGTGAAAGAAATGGAAGTTTGTAACTATTACCATATAAACTAGCATGAAATATAAAGCCATTTATCTCAATGTAACTATTACCATATAAACTAGCAAAAAACATAAAGCCATTTATCTCAAAATAGGAAAAATTCACGATAAAGATCAATAATGAAAATAAAAAATAATAATTTTAAGATCTGTTAATATTTCAAATATAAGAAATGAATCTCATGAGAGAACATTTCCTGGGGCAAAAGATATAATGTAAATTGTCCCCTATGTCAATTTTGCCCTTTTGTTAGCTTTTTTTCCCCTTAAAATTATTTCTTTTTGTATCTGTCTGGTACAGCCAAGCTCAAAATCCCGAATCTCTAACTTTCTTTACCTTAAGAGAATGTTACTGGTTTTGTCTGGTGTTTTTTTTTTTTTTGGTCTGTGCATGTTTGTGTGTGTGTGTGTATTGTGTGTGTGTGTGTGTGTGTATCTGTGTGTGTTATCTTTTTGCCTGCAAGCTTTTCTTAAAGTTTTACTTTACATCCCCTAACAATGATGTGAACATGCCTTAGTAACCATTCTGATATGACTGGGTTTTGCCTTCAGACCATTCTCAGCCATCACAGAGAAAACCCTGTTCTTAGACAATTATAACATAAAGTAGTATTTTTCTTTTTATCTCAACAATTATTTTTATTGTGGATAAAATTTACATGAAATTATGTTCCTCTGTTTTAAAAGGATATGGCCGATAACAAACTTACCTGAACAGGAGTCAGCAATAAATCACAGATCTTCAGAGTTCACAGCCTCTATTGATTTCACAATAATTTTCCATTAAGCAAATGAATATTGACTACTCTCAGTTGGATAATATTGGGTCTCAATAATATTGGCTTTTTATTCTTAATACTTGACTTGAACATCTAATTGCAGTATAGATCAATTGATGCTTCACAATATTTGAATGGCACATAATGGAATTTTCAATATTTGAACTTGCTGTCAACATGTCATAAAAAGCACAGAACGGAAGTAGAGCTATAGTCTAAATTAATTGGTATTTATTTATTTATTTCTAATCCATGCTTAGCTATTAAACACAATATAAATGTAGTAAATTGTTTTAATTAGTTTTATTCATATAAATCATTAAATTAATATTTTCTGTTATTACATTGAATTAATCATTTAAAATGTATATAATGAACATGAACAGTATCTGGATGTTAGTAGGCAATATGTAATGAGCTCAGTCCCATTTCTCTACATTTGATAATTAGCAGCATAAGAAAAGGGGAGGAAAGAGCAAGATCAGAACATTCACTGTGTTTAAATCACAGTGAATGTTCTGATGTTCAACTCTGTCAAACTCTGACATTTTAGAATCTTTTCTAAAAAGAACATATTTGAACACAAACAAATGAGCATGTGTTCAGTAACTAAAACAAGTTTTTAAAAAAGGTAAAGATTTCCCTGTCAGTTTTGTCCAGCTCTAGGGCACATTGCTCATCTCCGTTTCTTGACTGAAGAAGCCAGCATTGTCTGAAGACAATTTCCATGTCATGTGGCCAACATGGCCATATGCCAAAGATGCACAGAACACTATTGCCTTTCCACCGAAGTGGTACCTATTCATCTACTTGCATTTTCATGTTTTCGAACTGCCAGGTGGGCAGGAGCTGGGGCAAGTAATGGGAGCTCAACCCTTTGCATCGAGCTCTGGGTCTCCAATCTGGGCTGCTAGCTCTCCAGCTGACAAACTGAACACCTTTAAAACAAGTGGTATTCATTATCCTTTTTATTTGACCAGATTTGTGATATGAATTAGTCTGACAATATTTATATTAAAAAGCAGGTTATGAATGGCTGTTGTCATATTGTTGCTGTCTTTATACCACAGCTCATCTAGGTTCATAACTTTTAACTAGACTGTTGAAAGAAAACTGATACATGAACATCTTCCAGTCATTCCTCAAACTTAGCTAAAGAGCTGCAAACTCAACAGGGTTATTTCAAAACTTTGGGGCCACTTTTATGTAGGACTAAAATAGTATTACTAAATTAATGGCATCTTGACATCTAACCCATGTTTAAAATATTGGGGGACATTCCCGTCCTGAAGATTACTCTCACCATAAGCATAACCAAAGACATTCTTGAAATGATCCCATTTAAGTCGACATGAAATCACATGTTTAAATGTTTAAAGCCAGCCTTGCTTGTATTTATTTCAGAGACAGGATGGGACTATGTGAAAGCAGAAACCTGAGAAGCAGGAAAGAAAGGAAGAATTCTCTATATAGACAGAAACCTCAGACAGCCATGAAAAGGAAAGTTCCACCACCTCTACCACCGGTAAGTTTTAATCTTCAAGAAAGAGTAATTTAAGAACTAAAATTCTGTACCCAGGCAAGGTTCAGAATCAGATGCCTATGTTTTAGAGGCTGAGTCCAGTTTCCAAAAAGAAAAGAATTCTCCATCTGGCTATCAATCTTAATCTCCATCTATCAGCTATGAATTTCACCTTGTTTCCTCTAGAACAGGGGTGTCAAACTCAAGGCCCAGGGGCCAAATCCGGCCTGTGGGGTACTTAGATCTGGCCTGTGGAGCTGTCCTGAAAACAGTGAAGGACCGGCCTGTGGCACTTCTCTGCCAGCAAAAATGGAGCTTGCAAGGGCCATGCTCCATTTTCACTGGCAGAGGGTTGCAGGAGGCTGTCGCAGCCAGAGGTGGGACTCAATTTTTTTTACTACCGGTTCTGTGGGTGTGGCTTGGTGGGCATGGCAGGGAAGGATATTGTAAAATCTCCAGTCAGAGGTGGTATTTGCTGGTTCTCCGAACTACTCAAAATGTCTGCTACCAGTTCTCCAGAACTGGTCAGAACCTGCTGAATACCACCTCTGGTTGCAGCCAAACACGGAGTTTAAAAGCCCATTTTTGCTGGCAGACTGCTCGGGCCACTGCAGGCACACACACACCCCAACATGAATGAAGTCATGCTGGCCATGCCCACCCTGGCCATGCCCACCCCGGCCCCCTGAGATCAAACACAACCCTGATGCATCCCTCAATAAAATTGAGTTTGACCCCCTTACTCTAGAAAGATTTCTCATTACAATTCTCAATCATTCAGCTAACATTTAGCATTCATTTCAGGCATAGTCCCTGCTGGGCTTGATCAAAGTTCCATCTAATCCAGCAGCTTGATCATAATAATCAAACAGGTGCCTCCAGGATGCCTTAGAGGCAGGAAAGAAATTAGCCTCTGTCAAATGGTAATCAACAGCAGCCAAATTTTCAATCAGATCAAATTTTTTATTACTCTTCCTTCAGCTTTAGTTGGTATCCAAAATACAGGACCGGACTCACAGTTTAAACACAGTATGCAAAAATCAGGATATCAGTGTCACATAATGATGGTAAAAATATGAGTCCAGAAAATGATTAAAATGTCTGTTATTTCTGAACAACCCTGGAATTAAAGGAAATTGTATCCAAGAAGATCGGAAATGCAGAGAGAATATGTCCAGATGTCCAGTCATACCTATCTTTCCTCATCACTGGCTGGACAGCTAAGGCTAATGAATTAATTTTAATAATACTGATAGTTCTCAACTTACAACCATTTATTTAGTGGACATTTTAAGTTACAACGGCACTGAGTCACGACCATTTTTCACACTTATGACTGTTGCAACATCTCCATGATTATGTGATAAAATGCTTCAGATGCTTGGCAGCTGACTCATATTTATGACAGTTACCATATCCTGGGATCATCTGATCACCTTTTTGACAAGCAAAGTCAGTGGGGAAGCCAGATTTACTTTAAGAACCATGTTACTAATTCAACAACTGCAGTGATTCGTTTAACAAGGGAGGCAAGAAAGGTCATAAAATGGGGCAAAATTCACTTAACGAATATCTTGTTTAGAAATTTGGGCCCCAAGTTTGGTTGTAAGTTGAGGTCTACTTGTATCTCCCCATCCTCGATTACGTAATCCCATCCTCGAGTAAGTAATGTAAAAGTTTCTGTTCAATATGGTTGTTTGCTGATCATGGCTAAATTTCAGCATACATCTAATATTTCAAGAGGGAAGTAATAGTAGTCTCCCAGTTGTTATTAGACATCAACTTCCATCAGCATCTCCTAACCTGGTTAGAAGTGAGGGATGCTGGAAACTGTAATTCAGTCAACTCCAAAGAGGCCCAATTTGCTCTCTTCAGATAAACAGATGGCTTCTGCTATTAACTGGAATGAGCAAATTCTCAGCAGGCTGAATTTTGCTCCCAGGACAACATTTGGTAATAGAATTATATACAAATGTATCCTTGACATCCAATTTCAATGCAATTAAGTAATGCTTGGCTTCTCCTTTTAATTTCTTCCAAAGGGCAAGAATTTATCCATCACTTCTGCTGACCAACTTGGAAAAGGTAAAAAGGATTTATGTCTTTCTTTCTGGATATTTATTGTGGATTCTTACCGGATGATACTTAATGATGTCAATTGCACGAATAAAATAACATGTAATGACATTTAAATAAAAGAGGGCAATAAGAACAACTTTACTTATTAATATATCTATACTCTTCTACATTACCCATCTCACTTAAATAAAAAAGAGAAATCAGAGTTAGGAACAAAGTTAAGAACAATGCATTTGAGTAATGGCTATTTCCTGCAATATGAAAATAATTCCTGAATTTGGCTTCTTATGAAATATGATTTTGAAAGATGGAAAAGTTTAATAAATGGTTTTCTAGAGAAACTGAACATACAACTGACAAGTGAAAAACATCATTAGCAACATGTACTATGGATTAAGGGGAGAAAGGGTGTAGACATTAGCTTCTCACAGGGAACTAGGTAAATACTACTTTTGTTTGCAAAATGCTGGTGAGCATGTTTCCTCCTTCCCCTATTCAATATTTTAGCTTGCAAAATGACCTGCTTCTGTCCCTAAATCCAAAACAAGAAATACACAGCTCTGTTCTCACAGAGCTATATATTGTTCCAGAGACGTGTGACCTTACATTGAAAAGGAGAAGTTTGCAAGTGTTTTTAATTGAAAAGGTCAGACAAAGTGAGGTTTAGAAGTATTTGTCTCATGAGTGCCTATATTTAGAAAAATACCCTGTTCACCATCCATTAAATAACCAGTAAGTGCTTAAATGATAAAACATTTTTTCTCTTTTATTGCAGAGCAGGGATGGGAGGGAAATTAAGCTTAATGAGATCAAGTCTGTATTGAACAATTACAACTAAAAAGCAGAGGTTATGCTTATGAGGATGTGGCTGTCACTGTCTCATCTCATGTCAGGTCACACTCAAGAATATAACTCACTCATTCAAGAGGTGGAGGGATTAGAAGACTGCAATTATATGTTGAAGAGAAGATCAAAAGTCATTATATTTCATAACTGTAGTGTTTCTTCTTTCTTTCTACTTTCTTTATGTAAAATTCTTAATAAATATAAGGACAAAGTACATAAATAGAAAGCAGAACATAAATGAGATGATCTTAATCAGGAGTGGGATTCTACCAGTTTGCACCTATTCTCTAGAACAGGTTGTGTTAATTCTAAGCAGTTTGGAGAACCAGTTGTTAGGCGAAATTACTGGCCTAATCCTGTAAGGAAGGCAGGAAGGAAACATTCTGGTGTTGCTTACAGAAACTGCCTCTCCGTTAACCCTTATTACATTCTTGGCAGGACTAGACTTCCTGTCTCAGGAACTTCTCTGGAGTATTTTTCCTCTCCTTTGCTGGTACTTTGCTTGTGTGAAGTGACCATTCAAAGTTACAATGGCACTGAAAAAAGTGACTTATGACCATTTTTCACACGTACGACTGTTGCAGCATCCCCACAGTCATGAGAGGCCAGGCGAGGAGATGCGTGCCTCGATGTGAGTGATATTGAGTTGGCCATGCCCAGCCAATAACATGATCCCCAAACCATGCCCACCAACTTAGCCACACCCACAGAACCTGTTGTTAAAAAATTTGAATCCCACCCCTGATCTTAATAATCCCCAACACAGAGAACATTTTGTTGAAGAAAGCAAAAGCATGGGGAGAAACCATTTTAGCAAGCATTAGACTGATTCCATTGTATTTTTTATAACTTGATATACTGTATCTCAGTTTATGATAATTTCCCCAGAATCCTTCAGTCCTTTCTTAATAGCTGCCCCATATGACTGGAATCTTTCTTATATCTTAATTGTTTCTCAGTGTTTTTTTTTTTATTTTACTACAGAGATTGGTAGCCTGTAGGCCTCCAACATCCATCAGCCCCAGCAAGCACTCTGCTGGCTGAAAATGGGCCGTGCGGCTCATTTCCAGCCTGTTTTCCAAGCTGTTTTGGGGCCATTTTCCGGGCCATTTTTCAGGCTGTTTTTGGGCCATTTGGGGGGCATTTTTGGGCTGTTTTTTGGGCTGTTTTGGGGTGATTTTCAGGCCATTATTGGGGGCTTTGGGAGACCACTTTTGGGGCATTTAAGGGGCCATTTTCACGCCATTTGGGGCTGGTTTTGGGCCATTTTTCAGGCCTTTGGGGGCCATTATCTGGCTATTTGGGGGCATTTTCCAGGCCATTTTTGGGCCCATTTTTGGGCTGTTTGGGGGCCCATTTTCAGGCCATTTTTTGCTGGTAAAGTGCTACAGGAGGCCATGGAGGATCAATAAGGGGATGTGCATAAGTCATCCCTGTCATTGTATTTTCTTTTTTTTATTCTTGTTCTTGTTTTTTGTTTGACAAATTCTAATAAATAAATAAATAAATAAATAAATAAATACGAGGTGCGTGGGGCTTGTTTTAGCCATCAGAGGTACTGCAGGCCAGTCCTTTGATGTTTCAAGGCCAGCCCACGGACCTTGAGTTTGACACCCATGTACTAAAACCTCCTCCCCTTGCCTCTATTTTCTCCCCTTTCTCTGTGCTCTTCTAATTCCTAGATTTAGGTAATATCCTTAAATATCCATTCTGTCTTTGAAAGTCTTTTGTACAATGATGTTATGATAGTGGTTATGATTACTACCATTCAACATCTCATCATAATTATTGAAAAAAATGCACAATTTCAACATACAATATTTTCAGAAATAATGGAAGGAAGGAAGGAAGGAAGGAAGGAAGGATAATCATAGAGAAGGAGGAACTGGACTGAACACATCAAATTGTTCTTTTCAGACTATAGTCTGGGGCCAGTAGACATATAAATAATCCCCTTTCCTCTGTTAGTTTGCAGTGTGATGCAAAATCTACAGAGAAGATACATACATGTACCAAAGGTGATTTTTTTCCTCAAAAGGTAACTGGACTTTCTTGGTTTATTTTTTCCTATGAAAACATTTCACTTCTTATCCAAGAAGCTTCTTCAGATTTGATGCTCTTGGATGAGAAGTGAAACATTTTCATAAGGAAATAACCAATAAAGTCCAGGTGTGTTTTGAGAAAAAAAGAACTTTTGAGACAACTATGTCCTGGATGATTGAGAATCTCCATAGACATACATACATATAGGCTCTGTGCTTTCTAGGGTCACATTGGAATAGACAAAAAAAAGGGGGGGGGGAGAATTGGAGAAAATGCAGATAATTCTGCAGTCCAAGAGTATGTGTTTATTCAATGCTCTTTTTTACAGTTTTCTTCTTTACTTAGAACTTAGAATAACTTTATTGTCATGTTGAATGTACACTAATCGGCATACATTAAAATGAAATTTCATTGCATACAGCTCTCAAAGGGTCTCCACCTCCAGTATACACTACATAAACATGACTAAATAAATAAATAAATACATACATACATACATACATACATACATAATTATGCAGATACCCACATATATTATATGACATGGAGAAGCAACAGTCTAGTTTGGATGTATACATGTACGTGGCAAGAAAAACAAATCTTTCAAGTTTACCAGGCGGATGGCATACGGAACAAAGGTGTTACATAATCTGGTAGTCCTGCTAGAAATACTTTGAAACCACTTCCCAGAGGGGAGCATCAGAAACAAACCGTAAAGTAGGTGTGTGGGGTCTCTAACAATGCTTTGAGCTCTAAGCACATAGTGCTTATAAGCAATATCCTGAATGACAGGAAGTGAGTTTCCTATAATCTTCTTGGCTGTCCTTACCACTCTAAATAGACTTTCTCTGTGAGGTACTGCAGCCACCAAACCAAACAGTGATGCAGTTTGTTAAAATGCTTTCAATTTTGTCTCTTTATGAGACTGCTGACTGGTAATATCTTATTAGCTTGTCCAGAGTTAATATTTCTTAGCTGTTGCTGGTCCCAGTAAAGAAACACTGTAGGGTAATTACTCCTTTTATTATTATATTTCTTATAAATATTTTTATTGCTTTTTAAAAATATGACAGTAAATTGCTCTGTAAGCAAACAGGAATTAAACCATTACTGGATTTCCTTGGAACTAGCTATATAAGGACCGGTTTTAGGAACGTTATAGCCAAGTGAAAGCTTATTATTAAAAGACTATTAAGCCTTGGTCATTCAGGCCCCACTCTGGTTTTGTCTAATAAGGAATAGGATTTGAAAACCCTCCTGATTTAACTGAAGTTTTGAGTCATTCACCTACTTCTTTTTATATTTTATTCTAGACTCAATTAATGTTTTCTGTTTGTCTCATGCTATAGGCAAGAAATATGTAATAGCACAATATGATTTCATCTCTATGAGTGATCGAGATCTGTCTTTGACTGTGGGAGAAAAGTTTGAAGTCTTCGGCAGGTAAGTACACTCATCAGCTTTTGACTGATTTCATCATGCCCCAATATTTCTGTTCTCATCAGTTGCAGAAAAATACTTCTCATATACTTCTCAGAACAGAAAGAAAATGCCTGTATTATGCTTGCTTTGTTCATCTGCATCTGACCTGAAACATACTCTGGTTTCTCGTCAGATTGTATAAATCTTTCACTTTTACTAAAGATTTCCTTGGAGAGGAACATTTATGAGTCTTTTACTAATTTTTTGAGGCAAGAGCCATAGTGGTGCAGTGGTTAAAAAGCAGTATTGCTGGTTAATTCTACTGACTGCCAGCAGTTCAATTCTCAGTGGCTCAAGGTTGACTCAGCCTTCCAACCTTCTGAGGCCAATAAAATGAGAGCCCAGATTGTTAGGGGCAATATGCTAATTCTGTATCCTTATGATTTGTATTGACCGTTTCCTAGTATGATTTGATTGCTTATTGTACCCTATGACTATTATTAAGTGTTGTATCTTATGATTCTTGACTCTTGATTAATGTATCTTTTCTTTTATGTATACTGAGAGAATTTGCACCAAGACAAATTCCTTGTGTCCAATCACACTTGGCCAATAAATAGTTCTATTCTATTCTATTCTATTCTATTCTATTCTATTCTATTCTATTCTATTCTATTCTATTCTATTCTATTCTGTTCTATTCTATTCTGTAAACCATTTAGAGAGGGCTTTAAAGCACTGTGAAGTGATATATAAGTTTAAGTGCTATTGCTATTGCCGCTCGGGATATGTCAGAAGAGATTTCAGGAAACTGTCCATTCCTCCCGGTGCTAGTCAGCCATAATAATCATAAGGCCATAATAGCCACTTGCAGGCCTCTGCCCTATAATAAGGCCTCATAAGGCCTCTGTCCTATATGTAAATTTATCCTATTTAAAGTGGATTAAAAGGAGCTTAATTCTTTATTCAGATTTATTTATTTATTTATGTTGTATTTTGTTCACAGTGAAGGGGAGTGGTGGTTAGCAAAATCCCTCACTACTGGAAATCAGGGCTACATTCCTAGCAATTTTGTAGTCCACATCAACAGCATGGAAGAAGAAGAGTAAGTCTGAGACACCCAGGAAACTGAGAGATGGAGAGCTCTTGATATTTTTGTGATGCATGCAAATAATTTATCTCTGATATCTTGTGGAAATTCTAGGTGATATCTAAGCCTGTTTCTTGCCATCATAGTCTTTACACAAGCAATTATCAGATCCATGGGTGCATGTATATATATATGCATATATGTTTGTGCATATGCTTCCTCTGTTCATTCTCTTCCCCATTCCTTGGCCAGCAGGGAGGTCCTTCTGATGATGTGTCCAGACTTAGACCCAGTCCTCAACCTCAGTCCCATCCTTCTTCTCTTATTATTATTCAAGTCTTCTTTTAATAAGATCCATATAATTATTTTTTTAATTTATGAATGTAACCTAATATTTCTTATTTTTTGTCCCCTTACATAGTAACTTCTATTGGTTTGTTTCCTTGCTATGAAGACAATGAATATTGTTATGCTCATTGGTTTCATTTGAGTTTTTCCCCAAAGTATACAGTTGACATCACAAAAAACTAGAGTAGAAAGTGATAAGATTAATTGGTCTGTTGGCCAGGAAAAAAGTGAAAAAAGTTTCACCCACAAGCTCTGTGTTATTAATGGCTGATTCAGGAATGTGGCTGACCCTATAAGGGACAGGGACCAATTAACAAAAGCAATCATATGGATATTTATTGTATGCATCTGCATTTAATTTAATACAACTTATCCCAGAAAAATGTGTGTGGGCTATACAACTACAGATTTAAAGGATAAACACAGGGAAGCAAAAGTGAAATAAAAATGAAAGTGAAGAGAAAGCTGTTAATTTAAAAAATGGAGAATTTTCAGGAGACATTTAATATATTCCTCTGAACAAACCAGTGCAATTGCCTATTAAGTTTAAACATTTCAATACAAAACATATAAAAAATAAATTGTTAAGATTACATAGCATTAAATAACATTTTTGAACTTCTGAATTCACTATAAAACTTAGTGAAAAGCCAGGGGAAAACAGTTATAATATGCAATTTTCCACATTTCCAGGCTTTTTAAAAAATAATTGCTCAAGTGCAATGTTTTTCACACTCGACATGTGTGAATGTCAACTCTCAAAATTCCCCAGTCAAGTTTGAAGTTGCCAAGTCTGAAAAAAAAAAAACCTGCTCTAGTTAGAATCATTGTATAAAAAACTTGCTCTTTCTTTTTCAGATGGTTTTTTAAAGGCCTTAACAGAAAAGATGCTGAACGTTTATTAATGATGCCTGGCAACAGTGTAGGCTCATTTTTGATAAGGGAAAGTGAAAGCGTTCCAGGTAAGAAGTTGTAAAATTGTTTTGTATATAAAGGTAAAACTTGCATGAGACGCCCAGATTAGGGATTACATCGTGGAAATAAAAACAACAACAATATGTTATTTTTTTCATTTGGATCTTCTCCACAGATAGCAGTCTAGCGATTGTTTAAAGATGTCTGGGGAAGGGCAGGTGGCAAGATCATTTGCAGAGCTTTTATGAGAATTATTCTAATTCTTCGAGGGTAAAATCACTCAGATTTAGCTAGAGTGAAAGGTTGTGACTTGTCAAGTACTGTTGAGATGACTGAACCAAGGCCTTGTGTGGATTGAGTTTGAGTCTGTCATTCTTGAAGATATGGACATAGAAACCTGTTTATTCAATTTTGCTTCCCCCACCAGCCAGCATTTGATTGGGTATATTTAGTAATATGATAGAGTCAGTAGTCCCACCTTTTTTTGAAGGTGATGGTACATCCCTCCTCAAGATGCTGTCATTGAACCCAAGAGTTCTAAATAATTTTCATCCAATTTCCAATCTTTTTTTCCCCTAGGGATGGTTGTTGAGAAGAAGGTTTGACTGTGAGTCCAGATGGCTCTGGAAAAAAATATCTAAATCCTTTTTAGTTCAGTTTCAGACAGGAAAATAATACAGAAACAGCATTGATCAGGCTTGTTGGTGGCTTCTGGTAGACCAGCTCAGGGATGATGTGACTGTCTTAGCTTTCTCTGATTTCTTAGTGGTTTTGATGCATTCCATCATAATGTCATTCAGGACCACGTATGAGGATTAGGAATGATGGACATTCTGCTATGGTGGTTCTCCTCTCTTCTTCCAGGCAGTATTGGTGAGATGGTAAGGGGAGGGAGAGAGATCTGGCCCAAAATTCTTGATGTGGGCACTATAGAAATTATATAATGGGCTGTCAGAATAACCTTGAGGAAGAAGAGGAAGAATCCAGGCAACAGACAGATTCCAAAGGAGGAATGGAATTTGAGAAGCATCTCAGACTTCATTATAGTTCTCTTTAGGATAAATGCGGGGAGGGGAAATGCACACTCAGAATTGGCTTCTTTTTCAACTTGTAAATTTTATTAAGTGGCATAAACTTTTGTGAGCTGCAGTTTACCTCACAATCTGCCTGATTTTGGCTTACCATAGTTAATCTCTTCCCACAACTTCAAGGGGAGGAGAGCTCACTTGCAGAATTTGAGTTTAGCTAGTCTAGAGAAAAGAAGGACTAGGGAGGACATGATAGCAGTATTCCAATATTTGAGGGCTGCCACAAAAAAGAGAGGGTCAACTTATTTTCTAAAGTAACAGAGGGTAGGACAAGAAACAGTGGATTGAAACCAATTAAGGAGAGGAGCAATCTAGAACTAAGGAGAAACATCCTTATCTTAACAGTGAGGACAATTTAATTAGCGGAAAAGTTTGCCATCAGAAGCTGTAGGTACTTCATCGCTGAAGATTTTTAAGAAGAGACTGGATAGTCATTTGTCTCAAATGATATAGGGCTTCCTGCTTGAGCAGGGGGTTGGACTAGGAGACCTCCATGAGCCCTTCCAGCTCTATTCTGATTGATATATTAATTGATTGATCATAGAATATGTTGCTTTGCAAAGAGGGACGAAATGGAAATGGTCAGGAGTAGAGGAATTCTCTGCCTCTATCTGTTCCAGACCAGCAATGATTAACTGAATATTCTCATTAAATGACATGAATGATATATGAGCATATTTGGATGGGTTGTACAGAAGAATCAGGATTCAGAAGAATTTAACAAATATCTGGTCTCCTTTTCATTGTCCGGTGCTTTGTCCCGAGTCACATAAATCTGATCCTGTATTCTTATGTTGCTAAAAATTCAAAAGTACTTTCCTCTAGTTTGGCACCCTTCAGACAAGTTGACACTTCACTTCCCAGTATGCTGCAGGTACTGGAAATTCTGAGATTTGCTGGCCTGGAAGGTACATGTTGGATGGAATAGCCTCTCTATGGTACACTGTTTCTTCTGGTGGCACAATTTAAGCACTAATAAATAATTCCCCCTTTTTTCTTGTTCCAGGTGCATTTTCACTTTCTATTAGAGACATTATCTCTCAAGAGGATATTATTAAGCATTACAAAATCTCCACTATGGACCAAGGTGGATACTACATCTGTCCCTGGATTACATTTTCTTCTTTGCAAAAGCTTGTCAAGCATTATTCCAGTAAGAATATTTCTGAAACCTGACAGATTCATACTTAATATGACAGAACAGAACAGAACAGAACAGAACAGAATAGAATAGAGCAGAGCAGAGCAGAATAGAGCAGAATAGAGCAGAATAGAATAGAATTCTTTGTTGGCCAATTGTGATTGGACACACTAGGAATTTGTCTTGGTGCAAATGCTCTCAGTGTACATAAAAGAAAAGATACATTCATCAAGAGTCAAGAATCATAAGGTACAACGCTTAATAATAGTCATAGGGTATCGTAAGGATACAAGCGACAAAGATACAGTTATACGGTTACAAGTGGGAGGGGATGGGTGATAAGGAGTGATGGGAAGATTAATAGTAATAGTAGTGCAGACTTTGTAAATAGTTGGACAGTGTTGAGGGAATTATTTGTTTAGCAGAGTGATGGCGTTCGGGAAAAAACTGTCCTTATGTCTAGTTGTTCTGGTATGCAGTGCTATATAGTGTCGTTTTGAGGATAGGAGTTGAAACGGTTTATGTCCAGGATGTGAGGGTTCTGTAAATATTTTCACAGCCCTCTTTTTGACTTGTGCAATATATAAGTCCTTGATTGAAGGCAGGCTGGTAGTAATTGTTTTTTCTGCAGTCCTAATGCAGTCCTAAAGCAGAGAATGTCTCATAGAAGCAGAACAATTTAGCTTAAGTTCTGTAGGTTCCTTGTAACATATGAAGAAAGCGGAACAGTTTGCAAAGTAAGCGAGTTCAGATTGCCCAAAGTCAATGGAGAGCCAAGAGTTGAGATGGCCAATGTAAGCATATGAAAAAAAGTATCGATTTTATTATTTTTTAAATTGATTTTGATTAGATATTTAAAAGTACAATCAAGAAAATAAAACAAAAAAAGACAAATGAAACATTAAATTAAATAAAATTCAGTTTAAACATCTGGCTGTAGCTTATAGATTTATAGATTAACAGAGTTGGAAGGGACCTTGTAGGTCATCTAGTCCAATCCCCTGCCCAAGCAGGAGACCCTACACCATTTCTGACAAAGGGCAGTCCAATCTCTTCTTGAAAGTCTCAAGTGATCTAGATCTACCTAATTAAGATCTACCTCTACTAATTAAGACCTTAGATCTACCTAATTAAGTCATCAATATAATATGAACTATAACTCAGAACAGGAAATTGCAATAATTTCTACCTAATCTAAGAAATCTATCCTTGATGAGCAAATCAAACCCTGACTTAAATGTTAACTTCTTATTTTTAGAGAAACCCAAACTTTATATGCTGTAAAAGCCTGTGTATAAAATTATAGTCCAAAAATAGTTTTCATCTTGCGCTGAATTTTGCATTAGATTTGTTTTTCCAGATACCTGATTATTTTTTACTTTGTCCTGTACTCCCAAAACTTATTTGACTATTCCCCTTCCAATTCTCTAAAAGGTGGAGGAACTGGAAATCCATTAGTGCTATCCCAAACATATTGTCTGTTAGTTGCAAAGACTGCAGTGAGGACAAGACTGAGAAACTATCAGTTTGCATTAGTATTTTTCGCATATATATCCTACCTGCATAAGTAATATCACTATAGAACAGCAGATTTAAATAGTTCATGTTCTCTTTATATAAAGCATGAAGCAAGTGATCTCTCATGATGAGGAGGAGGAGGAAGAAAATGCATTTCATGTATTTCCTCCCATTGCATAGTGTTTTTGGTATCAGGGTTCTTCTATTAATGTTATGAAAGGATTAAAAGCTTTAGAGGGCAAGGTGATGAAGCAAAATGTGAAAATCTCTGCTGATCTCAATTCTTTCCCTACCTTCAGGAAAGGGATCTGAAAGTTCTCTTTTTTTCTTAATTTGGGAGCAGAGATTATTTGTCCATCCTCAAAACTATAGGGAACTGTCCAACTGATTTTTGTTATCTCATTCTCTGAAAATTTACCTTTGGTTTGTCCTACTTTCTCTTTGTGTCATCCTGCACAGCTAATGATAATGGTTTGTGTCAAAGCCTAAGATATCCATGCAAGTCTCTGACTCCACAAATACCCTGGGCTACTGATGAATGGGAAATCCCACGAGACACTATAAAACTCATCAAGAAACTGGGAGCAGGCCAGTTTGGTGAGGTATGGATGGGTAAGTTAAGACTGACACTATAACCTCCATAACTTAATGAAAGCCTTTATATACTCATTAGTATATTGTGCCTACTCCTTTTACTTCTACTCTTTCTCAAAAATATCTAATTAAAAGAGAAAGAAAAATGTTTGGTACTCCCCACTCTACCTATCAGCTCTTAGCAATAGCACTTAGACTTATATACCGCTTCACAGTGTATACCTCATCCTTATTCACATTGGCTGAGACTGCTGGGAAATATAGTTCAGGAAGAAATGAATGCCCAAATGTTCATGACACCTGCCCTAGAATTTCAATATTGAGGACAGTATTTTCATATCTCCTCCCAGGAACAAGTACGTGCCCAATAGCAATAGCACTTGGACTTATATACCACTTCACAGTACTTTTACAGCCCTCTCTAAGCAGTTTACAGAGTCAGCATATTGCCCCCAACAATCCGGGTCCTCATTTTACCCACTTCAGAAGGATGGAAGGCTGAGTCAACCTTGAGCCTGGTGAGATTTGAATTGCCAAATTGCAGGTAGCTGGAAATCAGCAGAAGTAGCCTGCAGTGCTGCACTCTAACCATGGCTCTTACTTTTCATTTGAAGGCATGCGAAGAGGAAGTAGTGTACTGCATGAAGATCTTAGGTTTCTATTTGGTTTCAACTTTGTAAAGTGCTTACAAAAATGGCAAAATTACATTAAAATTACGTTAAAATAATGCTACCAGATCAGAGCTTCCAGATCTTTCCCCAAGACTGAGAGAAACTGAGATTGGAGCTTGAAGACAGTGGTATTGTTGTAGCAAAGAAGATTGGTTTTATTTTTGCTTGAATTGCTTTTTGATCTTATCGTTTTTATGTTGCTTCATTTCATACAACTGTTCCAAGCCAGCCAGAGTTGTGTTTCTTAAATAAATCATCCTGAATTTCCTGATATAAAACTTAACAAGCAAATAAAATAAGGGTCCAGTTTCAATCCTTGGTATTTTTGGTTAAAGAAAAAAAGAATCAGACAGCAGTGGGTGGGAAAATGATCAGCCACAGCCATAATACATATAGCTATGCGAAAGTAATAAGCAGTCTGGCCTGATAAATGGCCACATCCTCAGATCCAAAATCTCGCCATACAGCACAATCAAAAGAAAAGCTTTTAATGAGGAAAATGTGGCCAATAGGATCTCCTCCTGTTTGGGAGAATTTATAATTCCCTGTCCACTTTCAAAACTTCCCGTGGTTTAAAAAGACCTTTCCCTTCTTTTGTTTCCTATGAAAACTTGATGGAAATTTTGACACTCTTATTCAGCGGTTTGCTCCCAAAAGGTGGCTGGGCAGACTTGGAATGTTCTGTGGGCTGCTGATTTTAGGTTTGAGAGCCAACATTTCCCCACAAACCTAGTTGTGTTTTGTAGAATATTACCTGATAGTCATTAATTCCCGCCCCCCTTTTTGCAGGTTATTACAAGAACAATGTGAAGGTTGCAGTCAAGACATTAAAAGAAGGCAGCATGGACCCCGATGCCTTTTTGGCGGAGGCCAACTTGATGAAGAGACTTCAGCATAACAAGTTGGTTCGATTGCATGCTGTGGTGACCCAGCAGCCAGTTTATATTGTAACAGAATACATGGCCAACGGTAAGTATGTCTTGTCAATCATTCTAATGGCTATCTATCAGTGCTCTAGATATGAATTAAACAGGCCAAATCAGATTATAGGGGCATTTTTTTATCAAGCATTTGTGATTTGTTTAATGAGCCTCAAATATTCGGAGCAGTCTATTTTCCTTGCTCTTTCAGCACAGGTTCACAGTTCAAGCAACTATTGAAATAAGTCTGTATGCTATTGTTGCAAAGTGGAAATTGCCACAAAGACAACATGGCTGTAATTCTTCCATCCTTATCTTTGTTCGTATTTCGGGTACAGAAACTCTGTTGTTAATAGAGCCCCATTTTGGGGAAAACATCTAGTCTTTTTTCCCCTTTTTTTCTCCAGCCATTTTTCAAGGAGGGATTGAGTAATGTTGACAATATAATTAGCTAATCCAAGGATCTGCCATGGGCAGGCTACACTGATAGTAAATTTATTTGCATATATACACAAAAATTTATTGAAGAATCAACAAATCTAGTAATATGATAATGCAATCACTACAAAATCACTTAAAAACTTATTTTAAAAAAAAATCACTAATTAAATGGTATGATTGTCATCCCTTGGCAAGAATCACAGCCTACCATATTATCACATCCAGCTTTATGAATATTTATTTCAACCAAAATGTCCTTATATTTTTATTGCTGTTTTTATTTTTGAATAGGAAGCCTGCTTGATTTCTTGAGCACCAGTCAAGGGAAGAATCTGTCTCTTGCAAAACTGATAGATTTCTCCGCTCAGGTAAATTATTTAATACTCTAATGGTACAAAGTCTTACTATTTTCTCAACCTAGCAATTATATAACAATAGAATCCCCAATCACTATCAATCTACCTTTTTTAAAAGAGAAAAAAGATGTGTGGGAGAACAGGGGGAAAAGGTAACACGGAGAAGCATATAGGCTGCAGACAGAGAGGAAAGAAGGGAAGGGGAAGGGAGAGGAGAAGAAAGGAGAGGAAAGTGCTTAGGAACTGAAGGGAAGGAAGCAGGTGAGCACAGATCTGAAATGGTACAAGACACTAGATTGATCCCCTATACACGATGGGCAGCAAAGCATGTCAGATTTGACATAACTTGGCACCACCACAAGTTGCTCTTGGCTTAAGGAGAAAATACTGATACAATTAGGAAGAACTTAAGGGCATCTCATGGAAGAGCTGAAGACAAGTTGATTGCAACATCTTGAGAACATGAAAAAGCAAAGATGATGCCATGGGATGTTTCTGGTATGAATAGATGCAAGTGGGGAGTAGCCCAAAGCAGAAGTGATTGACAGATAGATTAGTTGGTAGACAAAAAGAAATGGAAGGCATGGCCAAAATGACAGAATGTGAGGGAGTAGTGAAGGAAGACAAAGAGAACATTGTGTTGAAGGGGTACACATGAGAGACAAAAGAAAAACAAAAGAAACAGCAAAAACAATAATAAAAACAAGACACAGAGAAGCTATTTTCCTCATCCTGAGATGTAAATTCCAGCAGATAATCTCTGAGGGAACGTGACTGTGAGCCCGAAAAAGAGGTTTCCTGGCTATTGTGTCATATTTGAAGATTCAGTCTCAATTTTATGTATTAAATTTACATGCCACTCATCTCCTTGATAAGGTGATTCTCCCTACCCTACCATGACGCTCACTGAATGGCCATGGAGAGATCACCGTTTGAAAGCCAGACATACCTGACAATGCTGTGATAAAGATTGAATGCAGAAGAAGCCCATAAAATACTTTTTTGAGTTCTTTCTATGAAATATAAAGCACATATGGATTTGAAATGCCAGTTTACCTCAAATTGTTTCCCTGCATCAGGAACACAGCACATACTAGCAGCAACTGACCACCAAATGTAGGTCTAATAGCAAATGTCATCACAACAGTGTTATTTGTGTAAATAGGCTCCAGGAACATCCAGTGATGACCGCTTATTTTTTCGTAAAAGTTAAAATTAGAAGGCTATCAATGCGTACTTGGTCCTGTGGTCAGCCTCACTAGTGCACTGAGAGGAAACCAGATTGCAACCTTTATCACACTGAGGTCAGGACAGGAAATAACACTCTTCTGGGTGCTCCATTTTCCACTGAGATGAGCAGCATTTGAACGAAAAGCAAATCAACTTAAGCATATGACATAGTTGTGGAAAATATGTCTCATATCCTTTTTGAAACTGTGTGATAAAAACCCCTAACAAATCTGTATGGAATAAAAAATGTAGTGTCCCTTTAGTTAAAAATAAAAATAAAAAGCCACCAGGGTGTTTGCTGGCAGAAGATCTTGGATTGCATCTTCGTTGCTAATACAGTAGGAAAAATCACTTCAGTCATTTTCAGTAAAATGCCTGGCTTAGCAAGAGCAAAAAATGACCAGCGTTTTCATTTCTAGAAACAGCAAAGAAAGCCAAAAGGCTTTTTCTGTTTTGGAATTCACTCTTACTCAATTTTCCATTTTTTAAAAGTGTTTTTTTTTTCCAAATGGATCTGTTAAGGACAATGGCAGTCAAAAATACACATTAGTAAAAGTAGTAAAAAAGAGTAAAAACTGTAAATTTGCAAGCTGATGCAGAAATATGATGGAACCAACTTGCAATTACAAAAAAAACTAAGACAAATAGAAATATATGGCTTTTTTTGTTGTTGTTGTTAGTTCCTCATCAAACCCAGAAACTCTTCTCTCTATTGAGCAGGACAACCTTTGGATCTTTTCACCACCAGATATGTTCATTGTTGACTTTATTTCTCCTAGATTGCTGAAGGGATGGCATACATTGAGAGAATGAACTTCATCCACAGAGACCTCAGGGCAGCCAACATTCTTGTCTCAGAGTCCCTTTGTTGCAAAGTTGCTGATTTTGGCCTGGCTAGACTCATAGAGGATGAATATCTTGCACAGGCAGGTTAGTGAAACTTTGTGGTAAAAGAGATAGAAATGTGGGTCAAATTCCACTGAACAAGAAAAGTCTGGAGACAGGGGTGGGATGCTACCGGTTCGGCCCGGTTCTATAGAACCTGTAGCTGTGAAGAGCAGCTGACACCGAACCAGTTCGGTGTTTGGCCCACCCGCCTGCCCGAGCTCTAGGCTTTCCTTTATTCCCTGCTTTTCCCTCCTCAGCTGTTTTGCGCGGCACAGCTGAGGTTGAAAAAGCAGGAAACGAGGATTTTCAAACACTTCGCACCAGAGCACAGCACTTGTCAGCAGCACAGCTGATGATTTCTTGCAAAGGCTGCACACACGATTGTCCGCAGTTCGGAGAACTGGCAAATCACTCCAGTGGCTGGCCCCTCCCCTCCCAGCCACTCACTCCTTACCTGGTATGTGAGCCATCCAACTTGCCTGGTTTGGTAAGTTGATATTTTTTCTTTTTCCGGACCATCAGCTGTTCTGCTCTGCCAGGAGATTTAGATTAGCTAGAAAGCAGGAAATCCTTGGACTGAAGCTTTTCAGTGCAGACCCAGGTAGCTGATTGCAGATAGATAGATCTCTAAGTTAATCAGTGATTCTGTGCGCAACTCAATCTGCCTGCCTGCCTTGCCTGCTTTGGGGTAAAAGTTGCTCTTTTTTAAATAAAAAAAATCAATATTTACATACATGGTGTGTTGTGAGTTAATTTTATGAGTTTGCTTGCAAGCAAATTTTATGTGACAGGTAGCCGATTGCAGATAGATAGATCTCTAAGAGAATCTGTGATTCTGTCAGCAATTCAATCTGCCTGCCTGTTTGCCTGCTTTTGGGCAAAAGTTTCTCTTTTTTATTAAAAAAATCAATATTTACATAAATATTTATAATATTTACATACAAGCCACGCCCACCCAGTCACATGATCACCAAGCCACACCTACAGATTAGGCCACACCCACAGAACCGGTTGTTAAGAAATTTGAATCCCACCCCTGTCTGGAGGTAAAATATTTGCTTTTTTGTGCACAAGGATTAATACCTGAGTGGTATTTCCATAATCCAGGCTCTGTGCTCTTAGCAATATAACTGAAGTTTATGCTACTTTAACCAGTCCACAAAAGAATGCTGCTTGGTTCCAATCATAGAAAGACAGCATAAATAAAGGACTATTTTACTCTATTCCCAAAATTAATTCCTTCCTTCCTTCCTTCCTTCCTTCCTTCCTTCCTTCCTTCCTTCCTTCATGAACTTTCTAATATACAACCACATGCACAGCTAACTTTCTGTTACTTCTCATTATCTCCCGTATGTCCTTCTCTGAGTTCTCTCCCTTTATCTTAAAATGAGCCCCAAGGCCTGGTTTTGTATTAAGACTGTATGTCCAACTCTCTCAAATTTGTTTTTTTTTTAATATGGCTCTGCTTCTAAATGCATAGTTTGAAGTTGCAAAAAAAAAAAAAGTGGAAGGTAAAGAGATTTTTAAAGCTTGTTGAGTTTGCTTAAAAAGTATTTGTAATTGGGGAGAAGAGAATTGATTTATAAACAGTCTCATTACACAGCTCTGTATGGTATAGAAATAAAATCATAATATAATTCAAATTCAATAAAATACATTAAATCGCAAAATAATATTGTTAGTGACACAGATTTTACTTTGGCTACTAATCTCTATGGTCCTCCCAGAACACACAGATGTTAACCATTCTACAGAAGGTTGTAACAGTGGGGCGATTCTTGTCTTGATGGGTGGGCTGTTCCAAACAAGAGGAAAACCAATGAGAAGGCTCATCTCCAGGGTCCTTCCTGTCATATCTCTGGAAAAAGCAGGTTGCAGCCCAGGAGTCCTGGATTCATGGCTCCTGCTGGGAACAGCAGATGGGCAGAGGCCTCAGTCAAGAGGACTTTGTCTATTTGCCCTTCCACATCATCTAAACATGGTACACCCAAGATGATCACCCATACCTAAGCCACCTTGCTATTGGATTATTACAATTTCCTCTAAATGGAACTGCCCCAGAAAACCACCTGGAAATTTCAGCTGGCATAGAATGGAGCTGCCCATGTACTTACTGGACAATTGTGGTGTGTCACATAATGCTGTTACTATAAAAGCTACACTGGCTATTAATTTATCTCTGAATGTAAGTCAAAATGCTGTCTGTTACCTATAAAGCAATATTAGGAAGTTTGCCTCTTCCTCCTCCCCAGAGAATTTCTGTCCCGTTTTTTATAGGCATGCATGTGTATTACTTTCAGTAAATTAGTTAATGCCAGAAAGATTGTAGGAGAGGGGAAATGATTATATTGCTAGGACAAAAGATTATTGGAAGATTTGTGAAAGCTTGGAAATAGCCTGAGTGTTTCTTATAGTCCTATATATTAAAACAGCCTAGATATGGGGAATAGAAAGACAAACTGTTTCTATTTATCTATCCCACCACATTTATAGCCATCATTATTATATATTGGTTAGGTATCTAGTACATGAGAAGTAATATTCAAATACACTGTATAAAATAATAAATAGTCAGATATTGTTTAGCATAGGATTTGAAATAGCTGACCTTGAGAAGAGAACATATCCTTCTTTATCTGACCCAATGTACCTACCGTCCTTCCTGCAGACCTAAAATATTACTTGAGAAGTGATTTTGGGATAGAACTGAGATATGCAAAATCTAGTGCATGTAAGCTCAAAACATAGCCTTAACTCCTAAATTTTATTTGATACGGTGATTTGTCATTGTGTCCTTCCTTGATCTGAGAGAGAATGATTGGCTTTGTGTCTAAGGCAGGACTAGAATTCACATTCTCCTGGTTTGTAGCCTGATGCTTTAACTAATGCACTGAACTGGCTCTGATATATTGGCTGCACTAAATTGGTCAATGCATAAATAAATTGACCAACTAGGCTCACTTTCAGTGTTGAACTTCTTCACATCCCCAAATATTAATCAGTATCAGTGAACTGGTCAAGTGTTCCTGATTTGGCATATTCACATTTTTGGTCATATTTCCACCAACTTGGAATTATCCAGTTTAAGCGAAGAAACTCAAAATAGATATTCTGAACCAAATTATGCTTTGAGGTTTTCATTTTAAATGACTTTTTTAATGGCAGGTGCCAAATTTCCTATCAAATGGACAGCGCCAGAAGCAATTAATTATGGACTTTTCACAATCAAATCTGATGTCTGGTCCTTTGGAATTCTTCTCACTGAAATTATTACCTACGGACAGACTCCCTATCCAGGTAAGGCAGGCTGCAATCTAACACCCTTCACTACTTTGAACCAATGCTTCTGTCTGATTCTTCCACTATGGGTAAACGCTCAAAAGGATTATTGTTGGGTTAATTGTTCAGCCCAGTACTAGACAGCTTTTCATCATTGTATATTTATTTGTTTTATTAATTTATTTGTATCTGTGTAAGGTGAGTTGGACTGAGAGAGAGTAACTAGCCCAAGGTCTAAGCTGGGACTAAAATTCATAGTCTTCAGCTTTCTAGCCTGATGCCTTAACCACTGGCTTCAAATATACCTCAGTTGCCTTCAGATGCATTTCAAATATCTCATTTACTAATTCAGACTCAAATGTGTTTGAGTTGAATTTCATCAGGTGCTTGGCCTTTATTTTTAAGGGGTTCATTGGCTTTTTTCATGAAACAGATGGGATATGCACGCATTTACAAAGCTGAATGGAAAGCAGGAACATGAGAACTTAATAAATAACTATAACTGTCACCACCAGCACACAAGCACACACAAACACACTTAAATGTTAATGCTTCCTGCTTAGAAAATCTTACTTTTGAACAGATTTGGAGAACACATGAGCCATGAGCCACCAGGAACTCAAAACAGTTGGGTTGTTTCAGAATTCCAAATGCATGCATGAATAATATATAATTTTGATCCCATTGTAAATCAAGAACTACCTGTGCATTACATGGTTTATGTCTACTTTAATTTTTCCTTTTCTTCCCAATAGCTATGATGAATCATGATGTTATCCGGCATATAGAACAGGGCTACAGGATACCTTGTCCAGAATCATGCCCCTCTAATCTCTATGCAATTATGTTAAAATGTTGGAAGGATAACCCAGAAAATCGACCGACATTTGAATACCTCCAGTCTACTCTTGAAGACTTTTATACAGCCACAGAAAAACAGTATGAAATGGAACCCAAAAAGTCCTGACCTTTGTTCTTCAGAGCTACAGTTTTTTAAAATCATAGCATGGAATAGTTGGGGAGAATTTCCTCTTAGCTGCACCTTGCAAAGTTGTTCCAAGTCATAGAACTAAAGACATAGCCATTTTCTGAAGCTCTATTTACTGCATGTCCTTGCCTGGCTTTGGTTTCACCACCCAGTGAAAAATAATGTAAACCATCAAGACTGGATTTAGAGAAGAAAGAACATGAAACAAGAATAAGGTCTCATTCTTTTACTCATGTTTCCCGAATGCATGTCCATGCCAATTGCTCTGGAATGGTACATTCTGCACTATGAGAAAGAATCCAAAGTATGGTGTAAGTTCAGTCCAGTTAAAATCAATGTTTCCATTCAGATTGCCTCTGGAATTAGAGGTGACCATTAAAATCAAACTGGTGAATCAAACTTATTCAGTTCAGTGTTGTGGCTCACTTCATCAAATGCATGAAGTGGCTAAACAGAATTATCTCTGTCATAAATGAGAGAGAGGGAGAGGGAGAAAGATGTAGAATATAAATTGGGGTGGCATCTAGGACAACTCACCACAGCCAACTTCCCATGGGACAAGTCAACATGGGATTAGTTCCAGGGGTGGGATTCTACTGGTTCTGACCAGTTCTATAGAACCAGTTGTTATGATTCTGTGCAGTTCGGAGAACCGGCAAATCGTGCCCCTGGCTGGCCCCGCCCTTCTCCAACTGCCCCTCCCCTTCCTGCCCAGTCAGTCCTTATCACGCATGTGCAACATTGTGCACATGCCCAACTTCACTGACTGCATTCTCCTCCACCCAGTCACTCCTTAAGGTATTTATTTTTTCCCCTCCCAATGATCATCTGTTCCGATGATCAGCTGTGCCAGGATCCCCCTCGCTGTCTTACTGCTTCACCCAGGAGGCTTCCCTCAGACGCAGGAGGTCAAAAATGGAGTGCGGGTGGTACTTTTTGAGAGCAAAAACACCCCACAGGAGGCTTCCCTGAGGCCCAGGGGGCCAAAAAATGAGGGGGAGGGGTGTGCTGAAAAAAATAAAGAAGCCCCACCCACCCAGTAACATGGCAGCACCCACTTAGGCATGCCCACCTAGCTATGCCCACCTAGCCATGCCCACAGAACTGGTTGCTAAAAAATTTGAATCCCACCCCTGATTAGTTCCTTTTATGATTCATCAAAGTATTACAAAAGCTGGTAGTCATAGAAATGATTTTCTTTTAAACAAGAGATAAAATAATTTTAATGAAAACTTGGTCAATAAAAATAAAAGGAACTAAGTGAATCAAGCAGCAAATTGTCCCGCTACTGCTTGGCCGTGGCGAATTGGTTGCAGTGAGCTGGCTATGGTGAGCTGTCTCATTCCATAAACATTCCATAGTTGCTCATTCTAAGCAACTACATCTATGTCCAGTGAAATTTATTCTTCATTCATTTGTTTTGTTGAATTTAAGTCAAGTTGTTATTTTGCTATGGGATTCTCACAGTTGTATGGCCATTAAAGGTTCAAGTGCTTGTGGAATATAAGTGTAACATGGTATGGAAACCAGTGGTGGGATTCAAATGTTTTTAATACTGATTCTGTGGGTGTGGTTTGGTGGGAATGGTGGGATTCAAATTTTTAACAACTGGTTCTGTGGGCATGGCTTAGTGGGTGGGCGTGGGAATGTGACTGGGTGGCTTGGTCATGTTATTGGCTGGGTGTGGCCAACTCAATATCACTCACATCGAGGCACGCATCTCCTTGCCTGGCTCTCATGTCTGTGGGGATGCTGCAACAGTTGTAAGTGTGAAAAATGGTCATAAGTCACTTTTTTCAGTGCCATTGTAACTTTGAATGGTCACTCCACATAAGCAAAGTACCAGCAAAGGAGGGGGGGAAAAAACTCAAGAGAAGTTCCTGAGACAAGAAGTCTAGTCCTGCCAAGAATGTAATAAGGGTTAACGGAGTGGCAGCTTCTGTAAGCAACACCAGAATGTTTCCTTCCTGCCTTCCTTACAAGATTAGGCCAGTAATTTCTTCTAACAACTGGTTCTCCGAACTGCTTAGAATGTTAACAACCAGTTCTAGCGAATAGGTGCGAACTGGTAGAATCCCACCTCTGGGAAGGATAGTGTAAAATCTCCAGTCAGAGATGATATTTGCCAGTTCTCCGAACTACTCAAAATTTCTGCTACTGGTTTTCCAGAACTGGTCAGAACCTGCTGAATACCACCTCTGATGAAAACCCATTTAGCAGTGACTGTGATGCCTTGGAAAATGAATGAAAAGTTCTTTTTTCCTCTTCTTCTTGTCCTCCATCTATGGATGCCAACAATTTAGGAAAGAGAGTTCAGGAATGAAGGATAGATAATTGTTTCTTATTAAGTCAAAACATTGATTCATCTAATCTACACTACATTGTGCCCAATTTTCTTTTGGGAGGGAGTGTCAGAAATGGACATTAGTTGCTAGGATCTCAAAAAAATTAAATGTGATCGCATCCTGACTTCTGGTGAGAATATTGTGAACTGAAGACATGCCTGAAAAAACAGGGATGACATAATGGCTGAAATCTGTGGCCAGATCAGAGGTGGTATTCAGCAGGTTCTGACCAGTTCTGGAGAACCGGTGTTGAGGTATCCCCCATTAGGAGAATGAGTGCACTCAGGGAAGCATAGTGAGAGTGGTGATGAATAACACACAACCAGCACACAGATACACTGAATAATAAAATGTAAGTTTTACTTCCTGTAAACGGGTAAACAAAGTCCAACAAACAGTCCAAATCATACGCGGTTAAAGCAGTTAGTATTCAAAATAATCAATCCAGGGATAATCCAAAAATGAAGTCCTTTTCTTTACCAGTATCATAAACAAAGTTCAGTAAACGGAGTTTGCAAATAGTTGCAAGGCTCACAGCAATTCAAACAGAATGATGATCAGGCAAAAGGCAAAAGGAAAGCAAAGGAAATGCAAACAAAAAAAAAAAACCCAACCAGGTTTCTGGCTCCATCTTATGGCCATTGGAGGAACCCCAGCCAATCAAAATTACAACATTCTCTTAAAGATACAACAGTATTAAATGACTATCCTGGTTTATATATTGCCAACCCAACTGTTAGGTGACTATCATTCCTAACAACTGGTAGCAGAAATTTTGAGTAGTTTGGAGAACCAGCAAAGAGTGGGGTAGTAAGACTGGAAAAACTGCCTCACTTCAGGAGCTTCCTTTATGGGGGGTCAAATTTGGCATCATACAAATAATGCATGTATTTGTGTCTAAGCATATTTTAAACTGAAAAGGAAACATGGAGGTTGTAACCAACAGTACCATGCAGAGAAAGGACTTAAAGCTCACACACAGCTGTATTTTCACTCACATTTGAATCCACCAGATATTGTTCTTTTGGGCAGTCACAGTGAATAATACTGTAGTTGAGGAGTTCACTTTTCAGGTGTACATATTGCCATTGTTCCCCACAATTTCTCCCCTCAGACCCAGCATCTTCTGTTCAGAGGTAGTATTCAGCAGGTTCTGACCAGTTCTGGAGAACCAGTAGCAGAACTTTGAGTAGTTCGGAGAACCGGCAAATACCACCTCTGACTGGCCCCACCCCCATCTATTCTCTGCCTCCCAAGTCCCAGCTGATTGGCTGGGTCTTCTTTTGTTGCCCTGTACAGGAGAATAGAGCTGGAAAGCAGATTAGTGGGATGGGGAGGGAATGGGATTTTGCAGTAATCTTCCCCTGCCATGCCCACCAAGCCACTCCACGCTCACCAAGCCACACCCACAGAACCAGTAGTAAAAAAAATTGAATCCCACCACTGGGCCAGATGCAGGATCTGGACAGACAAAATCTCTATTGAATACAGAAACTGTGAGATAGCTCACATGGACTCCAGACAGGTGCTCCTTCTAAGTAAACTGCAGGAACTGACATTTTTGCAGTCAGCTTGTGAGTCACATGGCTAGGAATTGAGGGATTACATCAAAGCTTATAGTCCTAATGTAGCCTTTAAGGATGAAAAATTCACCCCTTTCTCATTTCTGGAATTAATTTTTATTGCTTTTTAAAATTAAAAATATAAGGACATTTATGGGCTTTATTGGGTGAGTTTCCTTCAATCCAGTATGAAAGAACATATTTTGATGCATTTAAGGATGCATTCATTTTTAGAATTAACAGCAAAGAGTTGTTTAGAGTGTTCATTTTCAAAAGTTATAATGGACCAAGCATTCAGATAGATTTAATAAAAATTGGGGAAATGATTATAAGCATTCTTCTTGGGGAAACTAGTCCTGTTTTTACATTTGGAAGAAAAAAACATGATGAGGCTTTGAAGACTGGACCCTGTAGGGCACCAGAAGGAAGGAAATGAAAGGACATAATGAGAAATATTGTGAACAATGAATAAATAAATTAGTTTTAAGGATCACTGACATTATTAATAGACTAGATCATGTTGTGGAAGAGGAAGAAGTTTTACTGAAATTAATATGTACTTCAAATTGATAAACTACAAAATGGATATGGAAAATGACAAAATACAGGTAGTTCTCAACTTGTGACCACAATTGAGCAAAACATTTATGTTGCTGAGTGAGACAGTTAAGTAAATTTTGCCCCATTTTACAATTGTTCTCGCCAAAGTTGTTAAATGAATCATTGCAGTTGTTAGTAACACAGCAAAATGATTGTTAATTGAATCTGGCTTCCCCATTGACTCTGATTGTCAGAAGGATACAAAAGGGGATCATATGACCCTGGGACATTGCAACCGTCATAAATATGAACCAGTTGCCAAGCATCTGAACCTTGGTCATGTGACTATGAGGATGCTGCAATGGTCATAAGGGTGAAAAACGGCCATATGTCACTTTTTTCAACTTCAAACAATCATTAAATGAATGTTGTAATCAAGGACTACCTGTACTGAATATACAAATGAAAGCAACTGAAGTTCTAATAACTGAAAAAGACATATAAATAACAGGCCAGAAAAATGTTTTGGATA